TTGTAAAAGCGAAGTCTTTGTAAGTTATATCCCATAATAAAAATTTGAATTTGAATTTGGTTAGGTTGATAATATTTGTTTTGCTTCTCCCATTACTTGTCTAGATGAACACTGCACGTCGTTGCGATGTAGTAGTTAAATTACCCACCAATAAAGAATTACGAATCACATACCAGAAATCAAAGACACCACGTAAGCACTGAATCACACTGGCACCTGCACGACGGTATCCCACGTAACCAAGATGCAAGGAAAAGTCCACAAAAGTAGAAGTTCATTTATTGGAAGAAGTCATGGGCCTAAATAATAGGTACAAAAGAAGTTCATTGGTCATCCAAACCTCTATCAATTGCATGCTAGTATTCCTGGCATCTTCCGTTTGGGCTGCATGGCTTCTGCTTGGTCAGTACAATCGGCCTGTGGTTCGTAGTCTAGAAGCTGCAACGTGATTTACAGGTGTCACCTGGGAAGCTTGAATTGACAGTTGTCCGGAAAATGTAACTTGTAGCCCCGTGGTTTGAGTCATCCCGTAAGCTTGGATCACCACAGGTAACCTAACTGTTGACATGGTTATCACATCTCCCAACCATATTAATCTATCGAACACGTTCTCCAGTGCGTTGAACTTCGACATTGCTTGTCGGACTGTCCTACCAGATTCTGGTGATGCGGCGTAGACATTAGTGTTTGAACATACTTTCCGTATCCTGTTCTCGTGACGGTCATAGATTTGCACCATCCATAGGAACAAGCTGAGGAACTGCAACACACACTCAGCTCTTCATGTTAAATCAAATGTCCAGGTGGCTTAATAGAAATCCCAAGTTAACTAACGCCATTAGAGCCTTCTTTATGCGTGCCGATGCTTTATCCGAGGTCCGTCCTCCGACTGAGAGAGTGTTGTCCAAATTGGTTTCATATCTCCGTTAGTTGGTAACTGAACATACGCCTTATACTGCAGTTTGTCAACAGCCTGAGGACAGATGCCGAGAGGTGGTCGGCAGCAAAATGTTGAGACAAATACAAGACCACAGTGAACTCTATGATGGCAGGTAAACGCTTTGAAGGTGCAGTTCAATTGATTTTTAGCCATATTCAACTTTTCAACTTTGGAATCAACTTTCCTGCATCTATCAGCTAAGATCTATTTTTCTGAAATGGAGAGAATCTATAAGGAATAACGCATCCAGTTTCAGTTCCAGTTTGTGCAACCAAAAACCATACACTATCGTGCGCTGGTTTTGGTTGCTGTCTTAGGTTGCCCATTTGGATGAACATTGGGAGAAAGACAGGAAGGTTGAAAGGAGGATCAAAGAGAAAATTTAGAATTTCATTGTACTAATGTGGCATCCGGTCGAGATGAATTGATTTCATCAATTTTTGAGTAAAGAAACCCAGTATCGGTCTTAAAATCGATGAAAACTATGACGATGACAACCATATGCCACAACTATATTTCACTATTCACCTAAATAAAAACCATGGCTTCATAGAGAGTAGCAGTTACATTCATGTTTTTACTACATCCAGGTGATATCATTCCAAACTGATACCAGATCTTTCCTGTGTCATATTCATGTGCAGGTGCGACTATGAATCATCGAAAACAGTTAGTCGCACTTGTACTTAAGCTTTTTAATAATTTTTATAACAAACTTTCCCAATACACAAGGATATGAACAGCTGTTTCAAACCCTTCAAACCAAGGTGTACTACGATTTGATTATATATATATAATATATATATATATAATATATATATAGTGATGACTCTAATCTATTCGTTATTAGATTTCTTGAAATAAAATTCGCTCATAAGTGCAGCAATCATAATACCCGTGCTCAGTTTTCTTAGATGCATTATTTCTTGATTCCGGCGGTTGCATTTAGAAAGTGTTGACTCGGATCAAGATTTCGTGCGATCTCGTTCATCCCAAATGATTTATCCTGTCTGTTTGACCAGGTTGCGATCACTCACCAACCGATCACGGCAATCAAAGAAAGTCATATCAGTGCAGTTCCCTGTTCCCTGTTGACACTGCACAATTCCACAGTCCTGTTACCTTCGATGCAGCGGCTTGTCAATGAGTTTGTTCATCTCTTCTCGCGACGTGCATTTGTGCACTGGTTTGTGGCTGAGGGTATGGATGAGGACGAGTTCGGACAGGCACTGAATCTGATCACCGATCTGCGAGATTTGTATAACCAGGTAAGTAAGTACCTGCAATTTTTAGGCGGTGACATTAGCCCTAAAAGAACGAGCCTCAAGTGCAAATATCCTGAATTTCTGTCTATAAAGTGTTGACAATTTCTTAATAGCTCAGTAAGTCAAACATAGTTTAGGAAATGCTATTAAACTTACGGTGTTTTTCTTCAATCTCTCGATAACCATACTCTCGAGGTTGACCAACTTTAGTATCCTGATGATGCAGCTTTCGACCGCATGGGGAAAACAAATGGACTTTGAGTTTGACTTTGGTAAACTGACTTATCTCCAAAACTGTTCACTCAGGAGTGCCAAATGCCATGGACCTCACCTCGGGAACGGGATGAGAATATCCCACTGGTTACAAATCTCACTGATCTTTAATTGTTCAAGTTGAATATACAACGCTCAGACATACTTTTGATTCGGTTTCGGATTATCTGAACTTAAAACTTATTCCTCGATAAAACACACCTGTCTTCAATTCATGAATAGCGCGGGATATCTTTCAATGCGTGCCAATCCGTCTCTTCCATAGACCTCAAGCATTTTCTACGGGGTCAAATCATTGCTGTTTGCCGGCCAGTCTGATGTTTGGTTGCAGCAGTCTTATTACAGTTGAGTGGGCTCTTTGAAACGAAACGTTATTGCGTTGGACAATGAAGGTGTCTTATCAATTTAATAGAATCGCGGGAAAAAAACATGGGCCACGGTTTTATCCTACAATTTTGTAATTGTAACTGAGAGCTTCCACTGCCCGAAAATTGCATCTTGAGCCATGATAGTGTCCCCCTTAGGCTGGGCAGATAAAAGCTAACTTGCTCCAAACCAGGTCATGCCAGTGGTACATGAGTCCATCAGCGCCTTCGAAATTAAACGTTTGCTCATTGCTTAATACCACCCTGTTCCATTCGGAAGTCCAGCTGCGGGAACATTCAACCCACACAACCCACTTACCAATAAGACGGTCTGTGAATCATCGTACCGGTTTAAACTTAGTGAATTGCAAATTCGGTGCAATTAGTGACAGTTGATGAGCCCAGCCAAATAAGTTGATCACTGTAAATTCAGTGCACTTGTTATCTAATTTGAAGCAAGTAAAAACCTGGATTGTGTCTGGATCAATCACGATGTGTGACCTTTGCGACGATCGTTCACCAACTGTGTGCAATGCAGATATTGTTCCACATTGTATAAATGGTCATCGCCCAACACATCTGTGGCATGACTGACATGTGGATCGCAAAGGTTGAGCTATGGAGTTCAGTTTATTGACTGTACCTGGAGTGAGGTTCACAGCATTTCATAGCCCAGCTGCACATTTTCTATGATTAATTTGCCTAGCAAAGTAATAATCAAAATCGGTTGGTTTCTTTAATAAGGCCGTTAGTGGTATCATCGCCGTACCAAATTCGATCAGTAGAGATCTTTTGGTTACCCAGAAAAGTTGTGGAATAAAAGAGTGAGATAAATGGTATTTCATGAACTATACAAACTGAGAATAGCTGGATACTCAGACATATATAAGAGAGTCAGACATGAGAAATAATAGGACGGAGCTCAGAGTTGGCAGTCCATTGAGGGCCGGTGTTCAGTTCATTGAATTATACATCCGTTGGACGTAGTGAAACGTCCAAGTTGCCCAGTGCACAATGGAGCTGATGACCACTGCCACAATAAGGAAGGTGTGTGTGTGTGGTTCGTACGCCTCATCTTGTTTGGTTTGGAATCAGGGTTTTTGACCAACTGTGATAATCGGAATACTGCTGAATGTAGGGATACGAAAACCTGTACTGTAATTCTCAGAGCTGGATCGGCTCCAATCCGAACTGCGGGCACCAATAAAATACGCGAAGAATTGATGGCAACATATGCTTACTTTTATTGATAGAATTATAGCATTTTTTACAGGTGATAGGCCATATGATTGGTTGAAGGACCGTCAGCCAATCACGTAAACGTTTGCGCCGATGCATCACATGTACTAACTCGGATGTCATGTTCGCCCGGTGCATCACTGACCGAGTGTCCTGAACGATGATTGGATGATATGAAGCTGTACCTGATCGTGCCTATAATGCGGTCACGGAAGTCTGGATCATCACACTAACTCCCCTAGGTGAACTACCAGTGGTCCACCAACCCGGTTACAGCACCGGGATGTCAGCTTTTTGTCCTCTTCTTTTGGCGGGAAAACACCTCTGGGAGGGAGCGAGTATGGCTTCTTCATCAAAGCTATTTGAGGCGCTTGCAAAGTTCAAGGGAAGGCTGACCAGCCACAGCCCATGACATCCACCCCCAACAATACTGAAGCTTTTGTAGGTGACTATGGCAAGTGTTAAACCTAACAACTGGGTTGGACAGTAATTTTTCAAGTGATGTTATGTTTGCGTCATTTTGGGTGTGCGTGCGTGCATTATTGGAAGTTTCGTGGGATATTGGATAATGTCCTACTAATGTATCAGAACACCGGGTTTCAAACAAGCCGTTTTAGGACTCAAAGTAGTCAATCTAAGCAACTTAACCAAGACAAGGGGACGCGAGACGCGTAGGCACTACACTGAGTCCACAGCTGGGAGAGATGCTGAGCTCCAATAGAAAAATATTTGTGTTTGTGTAGTGACTGGGTTATATGAACGATGAGATCAGCATGGAGTTTGAGCATCGTTAACCGAACGACAAAGCGATAATAAACGACACCAATGAGCAATGGATTATGGCATGAGGGAGTATGCTCAACGTTATTTTATGTGGATTCAGAAGGAGATATAAATGATATCTATTACACGAGAAATCAGCGAAGTAGTGGCAATTGAAAATATCGCTACCAGGCAGTAATAAGAGAAGTTTTATTTGTTTTATTCATCATGAACATCAACCATGTTTTCGAACTTGTTTAAAGGTGCAAAGATTGAGGATTAGTCAAATGCCGGATACAGATTTTACAGTAGAAAAGCATTTTTATTGGTTTGGAATAGAAACATCACAGATAACTTACAGACTATCACGTAAACTGTCTAAGATGCACGATTGCGATAAGAAATTCAATACTTTTCGGAGCCGAATTGTTTTTGGTGCTAGTAGATCATGTATGAATGCCTTTATGGCTAGCAATCAGATCAGTTCAGTTTACACTAGAAGGAGGTAGTCGAGATCAGATCGTGCGTTCAGATCGTTGGGTTCGTCGGCGAGTTACCTTGGCTTCCAACATTAAATGTAATTCGTTTGTTTGTTTTTTCTTCCGAAAGGGAGAATTTGGAAAGCTGCTAGTGTTCTGCAGTTTATGACGTTCTCTGGTAGTCTATTCCACCACCACTCAGTTTGTGAAGAATCCTGCCCTAAGTCCCACTCTCTTTGCAGCCTCATGATATCCTCCCCTAGTGCCACAATTTGGAGCAGGCTGTTTGGTCCTAAAGCAGACTAACCCCTGCTCGATTTTGAAAGTTTCCATCAAGTCACCCTTCTAATTCGTCGGCGTGACAGTGAGAAGAGATTCGAGTCCAGCAGACGTTGTGACTAGCTTTTGCTTACCTGTCCGGCAACAATTCTACTTCACAGTTGTTGTACTCTCTTTCCAGGCACTCCATATATGGTGAATCTGGTTGATCGGTTTTCGGTTGGCTTATGCTTATCGTGTGNGTTTGTGTGCATGTGACTGCTTGGAACAGACAAAAAAATATCAAAAGCTTAAATATTCCCGTGATAGCCTAGAGAAAACGAGTCGGTGAGCGAACAGTTGTTTTTGGATATTCCTAGTCATGCTCATACATATCATATAGTGGAAACATTCTTACATAATGATAGCCATTAGCTCAATTTAAGGATATTATTGGAGGCAGAGAGTAAGCGAATGGTGACTGCCTTAACCATGACCAGTTTTCAAACTCGGGTCTTTGATCGATTGAGTGGGATACGGTAAACAACATCGAACGTTTGAATTATTTCGTCTTTTCATTATAAGGCAACCATTCAAATCCAAATTCAAATTTTTATTATGGGAAAAAGCTTACGAAGACTTCGCTTATCAAATCCCATAGGGTGTTTACAATTTGTTTCGGAACACGATTCAAGAGATCACAGTTAGTCCACGAAAGTAAAATATCAATGTAATGTTTTCGAAGAGCACAGGAGAATATGTTATGTAGTTAGGTGTTGGAACATAATGTTTGTCAGAGCATCATCAAGCTGACGCTTGACAGATACTAATGTTGGCGCACAGACCACGTGAGGTGGTAGAGAGTTCCATTTACTGCACATTGACTTAAAATGAATGACTTCTGCAGTCGAGACGGCTCTTTTAGAGTGCCAGCTTCAGTGAATGCCCTCTGAGATGAACATTGGTTGATAGAACCAAAAGAGATCTAATTGAATGGAAAATCCGATACAGTAAGATCATATTGCCTCTGATTTGACGATATTGGGACTAGTATAGTCTCAATAGCTGTAATCTTACGCCATAGGTCTTGGAATGTAGACCTTTGACCATCTTGGTAGCCATTCTCTGTGGATGTTCAAGTACTTTCTGATCTCACTGCAGCCATGGGTACAGGCCTGAATTGAGTACTCGGTGGATGGACGGATATATGTAGCTCACAGACGTGGAAACAAAGCCGGCTCGAACGATCCAAAAACACGTTTGAGCAGTCCAACCTGTTTTACCGCCATGGATGATGCTGTGGAACAGTTTGTGGAGCAACTCAAGTCTGCGCGACTGACTACTTTCTTTTACCTTCTCGGATGGATCATGAGGCAACGTTTTGTGTCCGAGAGTGCAGGAATAACGACCATTGTGACGTAGTGATACGACTTTACATTTGGTGACGTTGAATTCAATATCATTGGAGACAGACCATCTGTGGGCTTCGTCAAGGGTGTTCTGGAGATCAAATGAATCTTCTGGTTTTGTTATTGTCCTCCATATTTTGGCATCGTCTGCAAACAGCAGGTTTTGTGATCCGAGGACGTCTGGAAGATCATTTATAAGGGCATGTTCTGCTTTCTATGATTCTAATCAACCTACAGCTATTTTACAACCAATTTCATTAAGCACCAGAATTTTCCCGAATACTCATCATTTGATCACTATCTCAACTGCGTTTTCAACTATAAATGACTTAGTTAACTGCCCGACTAACATTACAATTGCGATGTGAGTGCCAGGAATGAGTCTCTGAGAGAAAAGATTTATGTGGTATTTCAAAAGGAGCATCCCCACGTTCATATCGATGCTATATCAACTTCTGGAATATGCTGAGAGCATGCAGTTAACCGTTTTCTGCGACAAACAATGATGAATATCATTTTAAAATTCCAGAAGTCTGTGTAAACCCATTTTGTCCGTAATTTATACGTTATAAAGTCAAAAATACTTCATTCGCATTTAAATATTATTGTTTTCTTACTTTTTATATCTCCCCGAAGGGATATTCCTGTCTTTTTATGTGCTTTTTGAGTAGAAGCAGACAAATGTATCTCTCTCCCAACCGTTACTTCAGTTTCAGATTACTCGAGAACGCTTTTCGATGACCGTGAGTTCATCCAATTTTCTATCCCGATGTACACATAATAATATTAATTGAAACGGCAACTTTGAGTCATGTCACAAATGAAATCCAACACCCGGAAACTCGTGTTGTTGTTATGATTCCATCTTTTGAGAAAATTCACCTGGCGTAGGAATCGCTTCGTAGAAATCTATTAGTTTTGTTGAAAACTTCTTCTCTAACTGAATAAATGGGACAAAAGTTGTTAATGTACGTTTGTTCTTCAATCTCAGAACTTGCGTTGACAAAGCTATTTCGCTTCATCGAACATCCGATTAAAGGGGTGACTCTACTCATATTTGTTTTCATTTTCCGCAAGTGTCATTTCTATTTATAGTTATTTTCAATTGAATTAAACAAGGATGTATATTGTTTCGTTCTCATTGTTGTGACCAAGCGTACGTGGTCAGGCACCAGTTCGATTTCATTGGTGGTTATAATGCAGTGGTTTAACTGCTGTCGGCGTGGCGCGAACCCTATATTTGGAGGTTCCAACCCCACCACCGCCATTCAACTTTGGTGATGAGCAGCTTTGCTGCCAGCCGTTCAACGCCACGCTTAGCGCAAGCCTAGGGTCTCAGGTTTCCGGTTCCCATCCCTGAATAGCAGGACTTCGTGACACCAAGTCTGCTGTGTATCTCATGGAATGTGTGTAATAAAAAGGTGTTGGTTCATCCTCCTAAAACGAAGCGCATTTCATTGGTTTGGTTTTCCCAGACTTCAAGAATTTTTAACACGGCCCAAACTGTAGCCATCAAAAAACGTCAGAACCACAGCTCTGTCTCTTTGTAATCTGCAGAGGTTTGAAACTGTCTTTCCTTGTTATCTTGTTCTAGCCAAATTACCACCAGCATCTTCTGACTACTTTCCTTCTGTGTGTAAACCTATCGGCTGTGTCAAAAAGTTTAATTGTGTAGCTCTACGCTCGACTATAATGACTCAGTACTATATGTCTAATCCTGGCACTACTGATCCATTTGTCTGTCAGATTGCAGACAACGGTGTATAGCACAGGTAGTCAAGTATAATAGACCATTTCTCACCGACTACTGGGGTGAGTTATGACATGACCTCGGTGGCACATAGTCAAACCTGTATGAAGTATCCAAGGATGAATCGACTTTGCGGTAACTCTCATCTCGCCGCGTACAAGGTTTCAGTT